TTAACTGGATGCTGGGTGCATGAAGGGAGGCCAGTGGCAGTGGGAGCAGGGAAAGCCTCCATGCAGGGACAAACCGTGTCTGCTGCTCCTCCACAGTTTGGAAGCCATCAACACCCTGCAGGCATTGGGACTCTGAGAACTGCAAATATTTAGGGGGCTTGATACAGAAAGAATATTTTGGTCAGAGCAAACACAAGTCAACATTTCTGCTGATATTGGGGTACCAGCTACACACCCTTGTGCTTAGCTGCTGATGGAAACCAGCCCATCATCCTCCAGTCAAGGCTGGACTTGATGGGCTCATTTCCAGCACCAGTTCCACTTGAAGATGTCACGCTTGGGGGCAGCTGGAAGTCTCCCTTCTGACTGGCCCTGGCTATCTGTGGCACCAGGCAGAGCAGGGAGCGAGGGTGGCTCGAGCTCCATCACCGAGTGGCCAGCAGCCTGAGCTGGGAGGCTGAGTCATTATTTTATTAGCAGGGCCCACAACTGCTTTAATGTGGGCTTAGGCTGCAAAAACAAAAACATACATAAAAGCATTTGGAATTACTTCATAAAATACTAAATCACGATATTAACCAACTGACCTTTGCTCTACACAGACCTGCTAATTTTAGCAATTACAGCCAACAACTTGAACATATCAAGTGGGCAACTGTTTAACAATAATGACATCTGCCTGGAAAATCAAATTATGTCTAAACATCTTTAAATCCCCACTAGGGGATACCTGCTTTTTTTTGCAACTGTTAGTCCCTGTTTAATAGGATTTTAAACTCACAGCCGGCAGCACACTGTGGTGGCAGTGGCTCCTCTCCCTGGAGTGACAACAACAGGACAGACATCCCATTAAGCAGAGAGTGACAGTCTCTCCTCGGACAGTGATGGAAGTGGTTTGGGTTTTGACAGCTTAATCTGATAGATGGGTGCATTAGCTGGATCCCTTTGCTCCCCCATGCCCCTGCAGACATTGCTCCCCTCCACAGCCCCCTAAGGTTACATGTGCTGGACACATCCAGGGCTGATCTCCACTGGCTGTTGCTTGGGAAGGATGGAACCTTGCTACCAAGATGGGCTTTGCAGCTTTCAGTGCTGTTTGTGGAGCAACTGACATGAGATTTCCTCCTGCAATGTCCTCAGACACAATCTAGTTTTATGTTTGGTGGAGAGTTCTGTTTCTTCCCTTTCTTTTCTCCCTTCACTTCTCCTGTATCCCCAGCTATTTAAATCCTTCCCTGCTATTCTCTGCTTTGTGGGTGAAACTCCAACACTGAGATCTGTTCTTCCCTATAATGATCTAAAATATGGCTACAACAGCCTGCAGTTGCTGTTGTAGCCATATTTCAGGCCTGTAGGTTTTTCTTGCCAGGAAAAGTGACATTAAAAGCAAATGGGACCAGCGAGGAAGGGTGAGCACAAGACCAGTCAAATCTCCACTGAAGCACACCAATGCAGACCAAGACCCTCCACCATAAAATTGACATCCTTATTCAGCCCCCAGCTAGGTTGCTGCCATGCCCTGAGCTCTGCTGATCTGGGAGCAGTCTCAGCTCCATGGTCCCACTCCTGATCACTCAGCACCCTGGGCTGCAAGGCTGTTGTCAGATATTTGCATTGAGATACAAGAACACAATATTTCCGCCCCTTCTCCTCTCTCCCTCTCTCTCCCTCCCCGGCCAGTCTGGCACTTCTCTGATGGAGCGTGCAGCAAAATCACAATCACATGTTTGCAGCAGTAGGAGGCCATTGGCATGGAAGTGGCAGTGATGTCACTACAAACATTTCCACCCTATCCCATTTCTCCAGAACAGTCTCCGTTTTTATGACCCCATCCTGAGATCTGCAGGAAATCAAATTGTCCTGATGCTATTTTGAGCGCTGGTGTCATGGCATCAATATATAACGACGTGGTGTCAAGCTGGAGAGGCGGGAGCGCTGCGGCACGGCGCTGCAGCCGGTTTGCTTTGTGCGGCTTACGGACTGGATCGCAGCCCTGCAGATCCCGCGCTTGCCGTGCTGGGACCCTCGGGATGTGTGTGCTGAGCCAAGGGGCTGAGCTGAGCAGGGTAGGCCTGGCTTCTGTCCATCAGCAGCTCCTGCACCCCACTGGAAGTTACCAGACCCTGGGGCACCACACTACCGGGGGGCAGAGCAAGCACACGGGAATGTGGCATGAGGTTCCTACACCCTGGCATGCTGAATGCCAACCACCCTGGGGGCTGCACGCAAGGGAAGAGCATGATTACAAGACATTCATGAACGGCAAGGGGAGATTCGGGGAAAGACAGACATTGGCAAGGTGCCTAGAACAAGAAACCAAATGACAATCTGACCAAAATGGGGAGAAACAGCAGCCGGCAGCTACAAACGCTCATCTGAACTAGGATTGCCATCTAAACAGAAGGAGCCGTGGGTTAGATACCCCTGTCTATCAAACTGAGATTTAAACAGTGGTTTAGATCATACTGTGCTCAAAAAACCCTCCTCTGATGCTTCCCACCAACACATGAACCCCTGCAGACTGGAGCTCTCCCGTGTGCCTATGCCTCACAGGAAAGATTCAGGTCCTGCAATATCTCTTGCCAGTTAAGCTCCAGTGGCATCCCTACCTGATTCATCTCCTGCACCCAAATCTTATCTTCTCCTCAAAGAACATCAGATCTAACACATGGCATACACAAAACACTCCTGAACTGAAATCTCAAACAGAAGAAACAACATCTGCAGCAAAATTTTATCTATTGGACAAAGCTAATCCTGGAAGAACTTAAGAACCCACAGAGTCCCCTGCAGCAGAGCAGGAAAAAGCACCAGTTTGACTAAAAATAAGCAGTGGGAAAGACATGGTGGTGGCCCAGAGCTCCTAGTGAGTAAGAAAATATGAACTGCTTTTCAGAAAGTGTAGATGGAGCTTCTCCGTCATTTCTTTTAATGTAAGGGACAGGACAATGCCATATCTTTAAAGTTTTTGCAGAAGGGCACAGGTTTGAATTCTGCATTAAGAGCAGCTCCTCTGGGAGAAACATTTTTATCAGGCTGTGTTATGAAAAGCTAGAGCCTCCTTGTGAAGGCAGAAGAGAACGTAGGGACAGAATATGAGTGTCTCAATGCGTGCCAAGTACTCTTGTGTGATTGCTCTCCACAGTACCTGAAAATACCATGCTACAACCCCAGAGAGGAAGGGGTTTTAACCCTTGAGACACTTTGTTTCTGATTTTGCTTTCAAGCACATGGTGTGATGGTTGGGGTGTCCTGTGCAGAGCCAGAAGCTGGAGTTGATAAGCCTGGTGGGTCCCTTCCAACTCAGTGTATTCTGTGATTCTATGATAAAACTCCATTATCTCATCTGAACCTCCCCAAGACCTTGCCTTTAGCCATAACTGCTAAACTCACTGCATCCACAGGAGTCAGTGCTGAGACCAGACAACTGCTTAGTAACCTCTAGTATGAGAAATGTTAGTAACTGGAGTTAGTAACTGGAGGTAACTAACATGCTGGAGTGTCCAGCAGCCTTCCAGTCTGATGTAACACTTAAGTTCCCATGAAATTGAACTGACCCATGAATTGGGTCATTTATCATCTCCTCCAGCTTTCATTTTCAAGCCCTCCTTTATCTTTGGTCACAATTAGCACTCAATTGCATTCACCTTTGGTCACCCTCCAAAAAGCACCAGGCAAAGGAGCTCATGGAACTTGAATACCACCCACTTCTCAAGCATTCAAGAAAGTTCTTTACTGTTTGACTTCAGTATCTGCTTTCCTATCTTCCATGGGGCTATGCCTTGTAACTCTCACTTTGTGGCTGGCAGAACTTTGTTCCCTTCCTTCCCCAGGCTCAGACCTCCCTGGTGCCAGTACAGACAGCTCCTCACTTTCCCATGCCCTTGATCACTCAGCATCTTGGCTCAGTGATGCCATCCAATCTTTCCAGCTCCTCTGTTTCTTCACTTTACCCTGAATTCCTCTCACCTCCCTCCAATACCTTCCAGGAGCTGCTTTCTTGCTTTCGTCCTGCTGCTTGCAAATTCTTTCCTTCCCACTTTGGACACTACAGTCCTGCAAATAAATAGTTGCTTGAACAGCTCAGTTAAGAACCTGGCCTCTTCCCACTACCCAAGGCATGAGGAAAACCCTCAATGGTGTTAAGCAGCTGCAGAATGAGACCCAGCAGCATCAAGTGACTTGGCAAGGAGTGACATTGGTGTTACAGAGACACACGTTCCAGCGTGGTTAAAGTGAGGAGACCATGTAGGGTGATAACATTTTCTTAATCTAATTTTTTATTTTATTATTCCCTCTCTTGTGGTCCCTTCCGTTCCCACAATGAACAGGGGTTTTTATTGCTGGGGTTAAAAAACACAAATTTGCATTACATCCTGGCTCCCGCTGTAATACTTTAGTCTTGTTTCTCTCTCGTCCCCTCTCCAGAACAACTGATGCTATCACAGCCTGATTTAATTTCAAAGACGGATTGTGATTTGGCAGTCGGGGGAAAAAAAAAAAGCCAAGTTAATCAAAAGTCACCATCTGCTGTGTTGCCATGGGGATATTCCTCCCCAATAAATGTGCTCTTTGCCAAAATCACAGATAACAGCACTATAAAGGGTGGGAGGTGGAGGGGGGAATCAAAGAAAGAAGTTCCAACACTAGGGGGGAAAAAATGAAAGAGAGAAACAAGGGAGAAACAAGAGGCAGAGAAGAAGTGGAGAGGAAGGAGCATGGACTATTGAGGAAAAATGACAAATGGACCAACTAGGGATAAGGAGAACAGAGAGACTAACAAACAGCTGGGGGTGACAAAGTGATGGAGGAAGACAGACAACTGGAAAAGAGGAAAGAGGAGAGACACCTCAAGAGACTCTGCCACATAATATGCCAAAACAAAGCAAGCAGAGATAAGAGAATTGCCCTCAAAGCCTAGTCTCAGGGGAAGGGGAGAAAACTGAAGCATCAGTGAGAATTCTCAGGGATGTTGGCTGGGGCACAAGAGGAGATCTTACCACTAGTCACACTGCAGTTACCAAAATTAAATCTCTGGATGAGATGGATGGTAACACATGGGCATGACCACGGTCAGGTCCCTGGTATTTCAGCAGCCTGGATGCCATCAGGGCCCTGTGGTGAGCTGGAAAAGGTTGTTGTGCTGCAATGCATCACCAGGACCTGGTGGGATAAAATACAAATTATCTAGAAATTACTTTCTTCAAGCATCTTGAGATGGCAAAGAGACGGGGGCTGATCACTCAACAGCTGCTCTTGCTTTTCATTTCCCCTTGTGATACTGGGTGGCAATTTGGGATATGGAATATAAGGCCAAAGAGTGCATCTTTGCAAGGGGACATTGCTCTCCCCATGCTCAGGGGGGACCAGCCAGGCTCCTGCACCACTGTGCACCCCAGGCTCAGGCACCAGGCAAGGCAGTTGCCCAAAGAGAAATGGGGTCACCTAACATGAAATGAGTAAAAGCTGTCAAATTTTAGGTCACAATGTGTTGGCTGCCCCCTGACCCTGCTTAGAGTGTGCTTGTGTGTGTTGAGTGCCCCTATTAACCCCAGCAGCTAACGGAGATATGGGAGGCATCCCGCCCTCCTCCCCAGCCCCAGTAGGGGCCAAGCAAAGGGGTCACTTAGCACCCAGGCTGGTAGGATGGGATGAATTATTCACAACAGAGGCACCACCAGCCTTTTTCTTCCTCCTTCCCTGTTGGGGAATAATCCCAGAATAGATCACAGGTTGTATGAATTCTTCACTCAAAAAATAAGCGAATGACTTCTGCATGAACTTGGTTTGCAATTCAACACTAGCACTGATAAGAAATGGTCGCTGCACAATGACTGGAGGAGCACAACGCCACTTTGCCCATATCCAACAGTCAAAAATGTGAATCAGCTCTTCACTCTTCCCTTTGCTCCCACCTCCTCCCTCCACTAAGAGGTGCTGTAAAAATCAGAAGTCTGAAAACACAGTATTGGACTTTTGGTCCAAGTGTTGGACTTTTTCTGTATAATCATTTCAGGGCACTGGAGTCACACTTCCATCCTTCTTTGCTCAACTGCATAAATGTTTTGTTTTGAAGGAAAGTTGAAGAGACTCCCATCACACACCTCTGGGAACTGGAGTTTAGAAGTGTGCACTAGGTACATCCCACAAGAGCATTAATGCCACTTTAACCTATGTAAATGGCAAGAGTGAATTAATTTAAGAATTACAATGGGATGTATTGAGTAATATTTTTCAGAGTAGCTTTAGTGAAGACTGAAGGCATTGAGACCTCTGAGCTCAAATAGCCTCACCTGTGCAAATGAAGCTTGATGGGCTGTCACAGCAGCACATACACACAGCATGTATTCCACATCCCATCCTCCCCCCATAACACTAAATCAAGGCTCCCAAAACATCTCTCTCAAGCCAGGCAATGTCTAGGAAAGCAGAGATAGCCATGGAAGTGATGGGGCATCTTCTCTCTGTTGGCATAGTGGAACTCACCTCTGGCTGGAGCTGAGAAAAGGTCCAACAGTTGTCTAAAATCCTCTTTATCCTCTGCAGATGCAGGATGGTGCCCTTAGGGAACCCCATGGGGCTTCACAGTTGCCTCCCCCTTTCCTCTCATTGGGCTGTTATAACATTTTACAGTGCTGGAAGAAAGGTAGTTTCAGCAAGACAAGGGACAAAAAACAATGTAGATTTTTTTTTTTTAAATTAGAGGATTTTTTTAAACAAAACCTTTTCCTATGCAGTCATCCTATTGCTACTACCAGTTTTCTCCCCCCCCCCACTCCCCAATTAAACAGCAAATTATACTTATCAAAGAAAAGAAGGTAAAGAGAAATCTGAAAGACTGTGAGAAATCTTTAATTATTAGTATAGTGGCATGAAAAGCTGTTGATCCCCTTAGAAACATACATGGCCAATTATCAAAAAATATAAGAGATGCAGAAAGAAAGGTTTGTCTAATAAGTATGAATCGCAGGGCCATTTAGAACATCAGTGTTAAAGCATTAGAGTTAAAAGGAAAAGTAAAAAGGGGCTGATGGTTTTAACTGTTTCACAGGAGGACAAGAGGTTGATACTGATAAGACAAGCAGTATAGTGAAGTTAATTATCTGCGGCCCTTGGTGCACAAAGCTTTTTGAGCTGGTGATTAATAGAGATAAACCATTCAAACTTCACATTTCTAAGGTGAATGAAGATGGCAGAAGAGCTGCACAGCCCCAGCATACTAACAGCATACTCAGAGCATACTAACAGCACACTATCTCCTCTGACAGTGACGGGCTGGCTGCTGCAGGGGGCACTGGGTGGGTTTATCAAACCTGATCTGCTTCCCCTCCTCTAACGGCAGGGAGGTTTGGGAACTATGGAGAAGGGGTGGCCATATCCCCGGTGCCTCTGGGTATTGCTTCATTGGAAATGGCTGGGACAGCTTCCCATTAATTAATACAAATCATCTTTACAAATATTCCAGCATTACCTCTCTGGGGTACTCTCCCCCATGGTCTGGGGGAGACTCATACGCAAGTATTTAATGCCATGCAGCACATTTGCTCTTTGCACGAGGCCTTATTGCTGGGTATGTGCAGAGGCCCCTTCAGCCTCATCCCACCCTTTAGCTCAGGAAGAAGTATTGCAGCCTCCCTGGGCCAGTGTCAGTGCAGCAGGCAGGACTTGGAAGCTTGAAGGAAGCACGAGTCCCAGATAGCAGTTCTGTGGGGTACCTGCATGGAGGATAGGATTAAATTAAGTGGTCTGGCACTTTGGTGAGAACTGAGAAAAAAAGATGCAAAGGCTGACTCAGCCCTTGGTCTTTCTGAGATAAATGAGGCACCAGGGGGTTTATCATGCTTGAGTCTGGCAGATAAGTCCTAAAAACTGGAGAGCCTGGATAGAAAATCAAGAGAGACAGATCTTGATCTTACAAGATTTCTAGCCACGTCTCCCGACCAAAATAGTGTAGACATGCTCCCAAGACAGTCCTAACCCCTACACTCTGAGATTTGGGTCAAACATTTCTCTGAATCTAGAACTGAAAAATTCCCAGAAGATTTCTGATACTTCCTGCTGTACCTTCCTAGATGCTGTAAGGACTGGTTTTCTTCTTATGATACTTCAGTGTTTCTATCCAGAGGCCAGTTAGAACAATGAAGTTCAGAGACGGCAGCAAAAATGGATCAGGAAAAATGAACTTCATTTCTAAGCTTCACAAACTACTTGGTGCATAGGTTTCCAGTTCAATTTGAATTCTAGGATGACTTTGGGCTTGGCTGTTATTTTCTCCAAAGTGGTTGGTTGGCTGTTATTTTCTCCAAAGTGGTTCCCTTGTCCTTGATAAGTTTGGAAAGGCATCTAAACTTCAGCATCTGCAAACAAAAGAATCTTATATTTTTGGCCAAACTAAATTGAATAAATTTTGTGTTTGTTAATTGCATCCAGGCCAACCTTGTTCAGGGCCAAGTTTCAGCCCAGTGGGATTTGCACATGGACTGGATACAAGCTATTGTAAATGGGGATCCCTGAAGGAAAAGCTGACAGATGGTGATTCTAAAAATGTTTGCCAGAGCCAGCCTTTGTGACACAGAAAACCCATAGCCAAGGGGGTCCCTGAGTTGGAGAGATGGTTCTGAAATATGTGGAAGGCCAGGGGAGATTGTTGGTACTGGAGAAATTTGACTGGGCCTCTTCTCATTGCTTGCCAAACCTGTTTCCCTTAGAACCCCTTCTCTAAGGGCTGGTAATTTTGGATAAAATGGAAATTGGATCAATGCTGCACCTGGTTTTCCAATTACATATTCCAAACCCACTCTTATTTCCGTGCTATAAAATAGGACCAAGATGGACATAGTTTATCCAAGCTGTATGGAAACCCTCCTCAGCCAGTACCACAAGCAGTGTTACAGTCTGGCTTGTGCATCAGCTTTTTGGTGATGGGATCAACACCAAAACTCATTGGTCCGTCTCCCCATTAGTTCCACTTTTCTTCTAACTAAACGGTGCATCAAAAGTCTGGATGAGGACAGGTCCCATCTAGCACATATAAGCAATTCACAAGGAAAAAATTCTCCTTTTGATTTCCTTGTCAACATTGCAGTTTCAAAAGTTTCCAGGAAAGGAAGATAAGATCCAAAAATTAATTTCCAAGTTGGCCCCATTCATAACAGCAGCATCCTAAGACACCAACAACAGCTTTCCCAAAGTGCTCTGCAGCAAACATCAAGCTTTTGCAGTTAAGATTCACTCTTGGAAACAACAGGTTTCTGCCTTCCCTTGCTCATCATCATCAGTGTCAAGTTTTAGCGTCTGCCAATAAATAAACAGATTTCAGGAGCTACATGCAAAGCAGTTCTAGAGGAGTTAAAGCAGTATAAAAGTGCTGTGAGTCATCCCGGACGGGGCATGAGGAGCTGGAGGTGCCTGGAGTGCAGAGCCCAGGGTCACACAGAGCTGGGGAGCTGGGAGGGGGGAGCTGGCTGCAGGGTGGCAGCACCGGCTCCAGGAGAGGCTGCAAGGCCCTCACAATCAAGTTCAAATTACGTATCAGACACACACTCCCACAAACACACTCCAGACACCAGCTGCTTATTTTTAGATGGGAAAAGCCTTTTCTTACCGACACCGGTGGTAAGGAGGGAGCATACAGAGCACCAGCAGAGCCAGCAACCCCATGCCAGCCATCCCCAAAGGGGCAGTGCCAACAACCCTCCGAGCACTTTCTGTCATCCCTTTGCATGAGGATGAGATTTTCTGAATTGCAGCAGAGGAGACCATGAGAAGCTCTCCTGACAGCCTTGCACAGGGTGTGCACAGCCCCAGTGTGCCTTGCCTGCTGTAGTGACCAGCCTTGAGCTCCCTGCTGAGCTCATCAGTCCCGATGTTCAGCAACACTCACTCAGAAACTTAAAGAAAACATTATAGCATCTTGGGAATTGCTTCTAAAACCCCCTCAGCTTTTCTGCATTACATTCCTCATCATTATAGCTGTAACCAAACTAGTTCACAAGTCCTGACATCCTGCTAGCTCCTTCAGCAACTGGACAAATCATTTGGATCAAATTATTTGTTTAATGAATTCTGCTTTCTCCCTGTGAACAGCAAGTAAAGAGTCTGCAATTGTTTTAGAAGCATTTTTTTAATTTTCTGCAACTAATTTTCATGACTTGCATCACTCATTGCAGCATTTGTCATCTGAGAACTGAAATTTAAATCATCTGTCTCCTAGCAAACATACCTGGCACATGCCCATTTAGGTGGTCAAAAAATTTAGGTAAACACACCAAAAAGAGTTTAAAGCCGCCCCTCACCCCCCAACATTCTCTGCCATTTGCCTGTTTTATCTGTTGCCAGTTATATTCATATACATTTATGTGCATGTGTATGCCAGGATATTAATGGAAAGTCAATAGAAATGGGAAACAAGCAGAGCAAATACATTTACCATAACTTCATGTCAAATAACTGTTCTATGAAAATGCACATTCTTTCTCTTACATCTCTGCCATTATAGATGGAAAATGCAAGAAACAAGAACTTATCTAAGAGATACCCTTTACAGGGATGGGAAAGCAAAGTTCACAAAATATTTCAGACGTGAAGATAAACATTTTCAGAAAAAAAACTCCAACAAAAAGAGAAATGGGCTATTCAAATCTTTAAGTTTAAACAAGAGACGACATTAAACAAGAAAACCAATCTTTCCCTCTCAGGGGAACTCACCTTTTTGAACTCTGACTGCAACACAAGGCTCTGCAGAGCCCTTTGGCTCCTGCCATCTTACAAGATCCTACAAAAGAGCATATTTTTCTAAAAATGTGTATGAATTCACTGGGGGTAAGGAAGTATTTCTCCACAGGAAAAAAAAAAAAAAAAGGCTGCTTCTGGAAGTTTGCTTTTTATTTAATGTTCTTTCTGCACAAGGCATTCCTTCTGGAGACTTTGACAAGGAAGGCTCGAGGTGTGTGCAGCCCTGCAGCGATGGTCACTGCTGTGTCCAGGCTCCACATTTGGAGTCTGCATCCACAGGGTGAGGCCTCAGCAGGGCATAGGGCTTAGCAGCAGCTTACATAGGGCTGGCATAACAAGGACAGGGAACCCTGAAGGAGCTCAGCTTCATTAGGAACAGTCATTTCTGCATGGATATTGAAAAATAATGCCTAAAAATTTCGGAAATGTATCCAGGCCAGAATGTTTTTTTTTTCCTTCTGAGCAAGAATAACTCTGTGCTAGAATTTTAGCAGTAATGGAAGAGTGTAGCAAGAGCCAGGCTAAGTGTCTATCAGAGGTATTCTGCTCCAAATACCAACAAGATTTTTATCGAGGGTAGCACAAGCACTCAAAAAAAAACCAGTGTGGCAAGTTTGCTCCCATCTACTTCAATGCCTGGTTATGCCCTTCTGGTAGAACACAGCTCATAAACAAACTCTTACCTCACCTATCATTTTTTGGTGGGCTTAACTTGATCACAGTATTGGAAAGGTCATTTATTAGCTCTTCTCCCCGTGTTACACCTCCTGCCCCAAATCTTTGTGCTGTTATGGCCAATGGCACCGCCAAGGCAACCATGAAAAATATCCCAGTTCCTTGGGCTGTCCCATTATGGGAAGGTCTTGTTCTTCTATGGCCATACCTGGGGAGGAAACAATATAACACAGTGGTGACATCTCAGTGAAGATAAAGTGTTGCTCAAAGTAAAAACAGGCTGCTTCAGGTTTCTGCTCTGTCTCCCCTGCCAGCCATTTGTCAGGAATTTATGGTCTTTAGTCACTGTTGACTCACCTTCTCTCCTTTGCTTTTAATCACTCTTCAAATAGCACAGGGGAGGTGAAGCTCTGCTCACTTCCTTGGTTAGGAAATCAAATGTTTGGAAAACATTGGGTGCATCTTCCTCCTGCAAGCCACAGCTCATGCATCCTCCTGACTGGGATTGCAGAAGAGTCTTCATCCCCCTCTCTCCCATCTAATTTTTCTAATGACTCATTTATGGTAGTGCATCAGGGGCTTTCCAGTTTTTCAAAGCAGAATAATCCTGAAGTACTAAGGCAGTCTGGAGAACCCCTTCTCAAGCATGTTTTTGTTACAATAAAAACCCTTAACTCAAAGGAAAGACCTGAGCACCCAAAGGGCAGGTTCTGAGCACCCTGACTCAGTCAACATCAATGAGCTGTGTGGTTTCCCCAGTACCCTTCAGGATGAAAGGCTTTCAAAGAACAATTCATAGATGTTTTTGGAAGCTATGATTACTAAGAAATGTAAATTAGCAACAGGAAGAAACACAAAAGGTCTATTCCATTATGAAGTCTCTGCTATGGAATCTTTTTAGTTGTATTTTAGTACAATTAGTGATGATAACTAACTATAAAGCCCTAATAAATTTGCTATTTTTTTTTTCTTCACCTAGGAGCCATGCAGCCATATGCTCAACTCCACTCCTTTTTGCATAAATTAGGCACGTACTTGGCATCTCCAGACTCTCAGTCTGAATTCAGACATGACAAAATACAAATGTGCATATAACTGCAAAAAATGGGTAAGTGCCTGCTGGAAGAAGGGAAGGTGGATATCATACAGATTATACAGTTACATGGCAAATGCTGGGAGATATTCTGGTGAATTTTTCATACAAAGAAATAGAAGTCTTGGTCACAACTTACTGGGATATTTTAATAACATTTAAAATTAAATTAATAAAGTTTAAGAAAGGGAGAACTTTTAAACAGCAACTCCAACGACAGAGGTTAGATTGACCATTATTTAAGGCAGGTTGTAAAACACATTGATTGGAAAGATGGGGATCACAGCATGAATGATTTGCAAGTTAATGTTGGGTTTCAAATCATAATAGAGATTCACTTAACCACTATTTCAGAGGGATATGATGGGATCACCTCAAACTGCAATGATTAACTGCTTAATTATTTCTAAAGCATGTAAAGGTAAATTACTTTTTGCTCCAGGTCTTCATTTTCCAAGATGAAATGAGAATGATCAGACTTCTTTTGCTTCACGATATTGTTTCTGTTACCCAAACCTAAAGTATATGTCCAGGCTATAATAAAGCCAATTTGCTTCTTGCTGTAACACCATGAACTTGCATTGAGTTTAAAAAAAAAAAGGATGAATTTTGTCATACTTGCTTGGAACCAACAACTACTTTCTCTCTCATGTGCTCATAATTACTATTTTTACCTATATGTGTGCATTCATTACATAAACAAACATATGTGTACAAGTGTAACATCATTTTCATGCCCAAATCAAGTAGGCTCATTGAATTCAAATAGTTTCTGCCTGCAAAGTTCTCCCATAAAATCCAACAATACATTTCAGAATAAGAGTTAAAAGGAGACAAAAGAGAGAGAAAGAAACCAGCACTGTTGAATGTATATGGAGCCTGGACTACTTCATTTCTCTGTGTTGAAACTAATTTGTTGCATTATGTTTCTATCTCTTGCATGTCCACATTGCCACAAGCTCTTATTTTCACAAAACAGACCCATCATTCTTTCCCACAGGATGAAAACACGGCTAAATACTTGCTGTAAAAAAACCATTATGTGATGTGCTAGCCAAATGATACACTAATACTCCGACGTAAGTGCTTTTTTGGCAACTACTCAAAGGAGCAAAAATTACATCGTTTTCAACCCCAGTGATGATAAGATTACACAAAAGAAAGCAAAATATACAAAACGGGTTGATGATAAATATTGTACAATAAATGGAGAATAAGCCGGTTTTCTTGCTGTCACACTCTTTGCAGTTTTCTGCAATTTTTCTGTCACTTGAAGCAGCCCTACCAATTATTTCTATTGTATTGGGTGTCCCCTGTAAAAAAAAAAACAAAAAAAAACAGCTGACAAAAATAAGGATTTGAAAGATTCCTTTTCAGGAACTTCCTCCACCAACTATTTCCTCCTTTTCAAATGGGGCTTTCAGAGAGGAAGTGGTGGCCAGCAGTAACATTCCCCACAGGAGAGACCCATCTTCCCTTCATATGTGGAGAAGCGAGAATATCCTCTTATGAGGCAGAGCAGGAAAAGAAATCATCCTTTCATCGGCAGTGTATTCTGCCTGGATAGGTGTCTGTGCCGTGTCCATGATGGTACCTTCTGAGGAGTCATTGCCAGTTGGCTTCAAGCCCCACATTGCAGAAGGACAATCAAGAGCCCATTGGTTTATCCTCTACCCTACTTATTTTGGTTGGAAACAAATCAAGACATTAACAACCAAATAAAAGCAACCCTTGATCTTCACTCAGATCCTCCACCATGAAAAGATTTTCTTACATCCTCAGTGAGGTGCTCAAATATTTCTCCTTGTTGCTAGCAGTCACAGAGTTGGTGAGAAATGTTTCTCGCAGCCATTCACCGTTTTTTTCCCCACAAGTTTGCAAACCCAATTTCCTGCCTTCTGAGTATTCCTTTACTCCTTGTGAGTATTTACTAGGTAGGTGGAAGGAACCAAATGCCAGGGCTGCAGAGGAGCTGTGTGCTTTGAATATACTTTGCTGTAGTTAGAGATATGTAAATCACAGCTGAGCTCCCTAGGTAAGTTTTTAAACAGAGGGGAAAAAATAAAGGAGTACAGCTAGGATGGGGCATGGACCCAGTGGATGCTAGAGGGGGAAGTCTGCAGCAAAGAAACCATCACCTGCCTTGTCATTCTCATGCGATGCAGTCTGTTTATTGTAGTCTCAAAATGCCCAGTATCCCACAGGGGCAGCGGCCTGGACCACAGCACCACACATCTGGTGGCACACACCACACTCCCAGAAAGCATCCAGATCACTGGGGAGCCCCGAGCAGCCGCTGCTGTCCTGGGCTGCACGATGCAGCCACGCAGCCTCCACATGTGGCCGGGAGCCGAGGCTGCCCTGGGGAGCCAGACGAAAAGCAGGCGCTCACTGGCGGCCCAGCAGAACATCCCTTGTGCACAGATGTTGGGAAAGGCAGGCTCAGGGGGGCCACGGAGCAGGGCAGCATCCCAGAGGTGTCATAGCACCAGGAATGTTTGCAAACGCCATTTAGTGGAAGTCAGATGCCTACTTATCGCTTTCAAAGGGAGACGAGATCGGCTGTTAGTGCTCGCAGGATCAAATGGGTAAATTAGAGGCAGAAAAGATCGCCATTCAGGCTAATAGGATTTACACTCTCAAATCAAGTTATGCGGATGCATTATAGGGAGTTCACATTGAGGGGAGCAATTACCCCATTAGCACTAATAGGAATTGCACTAAGGCATCATGTGAGAAGACACATGCAAGAAGACCGCAGCTTTCCCTCACTTATGCAGGGTTGTTTTGCTGAAACAAGGCAATAACTGATGGATCTCGGTCCTCCTAAACACGGGCTAGGGTTTAGATGTTAAGTGTTGGCTTCATCCAGTCCCTTCATTCATAAAGCTGGGAAGAACCTTCTTCCCAGAGAGCAGTTACAAGGAGAGCTCACCTCCCCGGTACCTGTTGCCACCTCTGCTAATACGAAAACAAGGGCATAAACCCAAGTCCTTCTGCTGCTAAGGAAGCTGCATCCAGGGATGTACCATTTATCTGTGCTTCCTTCTGACTCTCTGAAGCTGCTTGCTGGCTTTGTCTCCAGTTGCTGCTGTTTATCACCATCTCTTCACTGGCGAGTGCCCAGCGGACACATTTACTCCCTCTGCAGTGCATGGAGGCATCTTAAACACATACCTATAACCCTAATGACAGTTCTGTAATGAAGAAAAGGCAGTAAAATTAAATGCGACTGGCACATTACCACACTTGTTTTAAATTGATATTTAATTAAAAAGTTAATTATTAATTAAGTTTATCAATTGCACATCAGTTGTTCAATAGAAAAGGGCTCATTCATTTAATTATCTGTGTGCAACCGATAGTATATGCTTTTTAGCCAGGCAAGGTTATCTCTGCATCTGTTCTAATTTAGATCAGTTTAGCTTCTAATCTATCGAGAGTGCTTCCTTTTGCGAGCTTTTGATTTGATCTATAAATGTTTACTCACAGAACTGTTAGGTTTTAGAAGCTGATCAAATAAAGGGAAGAGCTACTCGGAGTTGCGTTGAGCTTACCAAAGGGCTGTGGCGCTTTCTTGCAAAGACCTGCTCGGGCTTTGCTTTAACAATGCGCCTGCTGTAAAGTTTCAAAAAAGATAAACATCCACCCCGAAAGTATGTTAATAGCCCAAACAATGGGGAATCTTCAAAGGGCAAGAGAGGCCTGAGAGCAGAACACAGCGACAGACGGCCACCACCGCCTGGGGAACCTCCTCACAGCTCCTGCTGCAGAGAGGATTGTGGGGCACAGACCATGGTGAGGGCTGTACACAGGTCCCAGCTTCAGCCCAGGGTGCCAGGGAAACACCAGTGTTCCTACAAAGAACTAGGGCTCCAGCTTTCCTTTCTCTTCAAAGCTATTCCTAGGTGCAAATCAAAAGCTTTTTATAGAGGATTTTTGGATGCCACATAGTAAACCTTGTAATAAACCCTTCCAGTACTTGGAAAGTATAACAGAGAAAGATGCCCTGTGGAGGCTGCAACTCCAATAGTGTATTCTGATAAATTATCTTGTATTTATTTTAATTTTAAATCACAGTCCTGTCCAGTTTCTAATAAAAGTAGCATTCAGTGCATATATTAAAAATATTAAAGAGTCCTGGTACTTTAGTGCATTGTTGGGGATCAGCACCTGCCTGGTGCTGAGGATGCTGATCATCAGTAAAGTTAATAAGAAATCGAGGGTAAGGAGACCTGAGAGCATTGTAGGAAGACGGGTGAAGACATCTATTGAAGACAATAGATGGGTGCTGTGTAACTAATTAGAAACAGCCCCCAGTTCAAGTTTTCAGGCTTCAGCCCCAAAATGGGCTGCAGCTCTTGCATATCCCTAAAAGATTCTCATATCCATGGCAAGATAGATGGCTTTCCATAGGCAACCACCACAGCACAGTCCCTGCCCCAGGAGTTCAACTCAAATCATGTGACAAAAACTGCGGCAAACTACAGAAGGTAAGGCAAGAAAGAGGTGGGAGAAAAAGATGCTGCAGAACAGAGGGCGGATGGACTGCCTTGAGGGGGCAATGCTGAAACAGATGTGTCTTTCCAGGGCTCAGTTTATCAAGAAAAGGAAATGTATCACAACAAGTAAATAGCTGCAGCTCAGAGGTTCATATAATTCAGGTGAATACCCAGAGTCTGCAGCTTGTATTTGATCTGAAGACAACAAGCCCAGGGCTGTCTCCCATCTCCTGAGTGAAAAGCACTAAGGGGAGAGGGCTTTTAAAAGGAAGGTAATTTACAATGCAATATTGCCGGGGGTGGTGGTGCTGGTTTGTTTGTACAACTGGAAAGATGATAAAAGAAATCCCCATGAATAGTAACTCTATGTTTATAGATGGGTGCCTCCTTGCCAACACTGCATGCAATGTGTATTCATCTTCACCAGATATTCAAGTGGCAGGACTTTTTCAAGCAACAGTGTTTATAGAAAATGACTGTTTTGAAGCTTTACACACTAGAATTTGAGGAAACTTAAAATTTACATTTACAAACATCATCAGTCACCCTATCTGATAAATCAGAACAGAGGAATCTGGCTTAACTGCTATAGATAGGCAACAAACAGCAGTCAGTTTCTCTAGAGATTTGCTAATATGGGTTAAAATAAGAAATGTATCATGCATCAGCTCACAGATACTCTGAAAAAAAACAGAAAAAGCCAAACATATCAAAGCACTGATTTGTGAGGAATTTTTTACACCAGTGCTTTTTCTTGACTAGAAAATTTCCTTTCTGTTGTACCACCCCATTTGATGTACCATTGAGCCACGGGATGCTCCTCTTCTCCAGTGACAGGACTAAGATGAAAATAAAGAACTTCCACATTATCACAAGCTATCAACAAAAGTGCTATATAAGCCAGCTGCTCTGAGAGATGGTGGTCAGGGACAGAAACAAAGCCAGTTTGTTTGTTCTTTAAGGTGCCACTGCACAACAAGTTGGTTGAAAAAGTGAGAGTGTTTTTGGCTGGAGCTTTTCCACAGCTGGGGGACACCAGAGAGCCTTTTGCCTCTCCCTTGACTCATCCTCTGCTTAGGATCCCCTGCTCTATGATAAGGAGTGAATTAACACTGCAACTATTTCCTAACAGGGGTGCTAATTTAGTCTGTCATCCCCAGTTGACCAGCTTTTCTCACAAAGCCTATAAGAATTTCATATGTCTGAGCTCTTCAGGCTTTGTGGCCAAGTGAGTTTGAAGAAGTCACTTGGGGAGGGATTGACAGATGCTGGCCTGATGTAGGATGTCACTCCATTTGTCTTTGAATTATTGCATTGAAAAAAATACCTTGGATAATTTAAACAATTTCTGCACCTATTGAGCAGTAGGATTTTTAGGATGAGACCATTTCTTTGTAAGTTATGAGAAACCAAGAAACACTTCCTTCCATCACCTGCAGAAATTAGTTAAAAAAGAAGTAGGTTCCTCTAAACTTAAGGCCCAAGAGGGTCAATGCTTACCTGAGTGTTAACTGTCTTTCTGCCCCAAAGGGTGAACCTTTCCAGCTGTCAGCAAGCAGTAAGCAAGCCATCAATCAAGGAAGAACCAGGTCTTCACACAACACTTTGATTAAACCTTTGGTTTCAAAGCTGAATCTCCTGTGTCCTTCTGTAGTCCCGGGCTTCACTGGCAAACAAATGCAGAAATGCCGCTGGGGAAAGCATGTTTGTGTGAGATTTCCAACCCAATTTTGCAGACTCAGATGTTAGGCAGTTTAGATAAGGGGATGATTAGAGGTCTAAACCTAAGGTTTGAAATACCCAGACTTCCTGGAACCACTGGTGCAAATCCCAGCAGGGCTGACTCAGCCTCCACCTCTCCATGAAGATAAAGTGAGCTCCATGCACAAGTGTGACTTTCGAGGCTCCACCAGCCAAGACCCCACTGGGGCAGAGATAATGATGGTGTCAGCAGTGAGAAAGGAGATTCCTTACGTGGCAGGGGCGAAGTGTCCTGGGTCTGTCTCCACCACCAGCTCTGCTGGTGCTCCCGTCCCTGGGCTCTGTCACAAGTGATTTATGAAGCTTTAAGTTTTCTAGAATTTCACTCCTGCATGTCTTGGTGTGTATGCCCAGAGTCTTACAGTGCTCCTGGCAAAAACTATGGCCTTTCTTATCTTTCTGTTGCACTACATATTGACCCCTTCAGAGGAGCTCTGTGTCAGCACAGTTTGTGACTCATTCAGAGAAAAGCCCTATAGAATCATATTACATCACTTTTCTATCAATCAGTGCTGTGATCCAATAATTTTTATTTCAGAAAACAAACCAAACTCCCAAATCTCTGGTATGATGTTCACACAAACATTTAGTTTGCCAAGTACAACTACCCAAAATATATCAGCAAAAACCTTTTAATAAACAGTCAGAACTAATCGATTTATCCTTTCTTTTCCTTTCAGCTACTGGACAATTAGCTAACATGACAAAATATTCCAGTATGCATTTCTTCTTTGAAGTTATTCATAATATTCTCCTTTAATAATTCACAGAGTACTTGCAATTTATTCTTTTGTGCTGTGTTCTGAAAATTAAGTCATCTGATCAGGGGCTTCTCAGGAAAAAAAGATAAAACCACACAATTTCTGTAACCATCAAATACAGCATTGATGACTGATTTCACAATGAAGCATATCATTTGAAATGCACTTTAGGAAAGTATTGAGACAGCAGAGCTAATTAAACCTTTGCTTTCCAGTAACATTCACCTCATTACAGCTCAGACATTCACAGGGCAGCAAATCTGCACAGGACACACATACTTGAATATTTTCAAGTGAAAGTGCAAAAATGACAGAACCAGACACACATTTTGTCATTCCTCCTCCCATAACAAGACCAACAGATCGATCACATTGACCAAACCAGATAACAGGTAACCGGTTCTATTACTCAGCCCAACACTAAAACAGCAGTAACAAAAATTTAACCCATCCTCTCTCTAGTTCCTGTTTTCACTCTGGCCAATTGGATGATGACTCATCAGCATCTCTACCCCCAAAATGTTCTCCAAGAGAGGCAGGAGATAATGTGCTCATTTAAGGTTCTTTGAGCCACAAGAAGCATCTCCAGACTGCCACCCATCCAATCATACAAGTGAATTCAAAATAAACAGGTAACTTCAAGAGAGGTGGAAATACAGACCCTGATTTCCCGAGCTCCATGTTCCCATGGTGGAATTATCCTGGGTTTTAAAATGGACAAATCTCATGTAGGTGTTGTGACAGAAACACCTCCAATGCCTGCAGCCACTATGGCAGTAAGACAATACCTTACCCTTCTTTTCTTCTTTCTCATATCTTTTTATGCTAATTATACTGCTTCTGCATGTGCAAAAGCTTTTCTTTTGGTTGAAATAATGGCTTGGTTGCCTCTTCTCCTCCTAATGTTTTATTTTCACAAAACAGGAACACTATTTTTGAGACCTCTAGCCTCCTGCCATCTTTCACTGAACCTTGCACATAGGCTCTGGTGTTACTGCAGGAAGGAGTGAAACATATTTCTTTTAAGCCCAGGCTAAAAGTTACCACAGAAGACATGCATGCATACAAGAAAAACTAAATTACTTAGTGGAATCCTTGGCTTTCCAAACAAAAGTGTCCACCTTCTTGTTTTTAATACAATGCAGCCAGCATTTTCACTGTGCTTTGGTCTGGCTTAAATTTGAACTCCCTTGGGGCAGTGTCTTTGCCTTTCTGTTTGCTTTTAAAATGCCCTATGTGCCCAGCAGCTCCAAATATAAAATAATCTCTAGAGCTGCAAGGAGAAAAGTCTCCATGTAGACGTGCCTGAATTTTGTAATGAAGTTGTTTCCATGTTGAGGTGTTCTGGTGCAGAAAAATTTCATCGACAGGGTTTCACTAGCACAAATACTTGCTTTTTGTCATTTCATGTTAGAATACACATGAAGACTGCATCTGAGCTTGGGTAAGCATCCACATCAGAGCAGCTTTGTAAGTGAAATTCCCACTCAGAAAACAGAAAGAGTGATTTTTCTTGATCCATCATTCAATTTGGCACTAAAATTCAAATGTGGCAAACCAGACCATCCAGGCTTTTTATTTTTCCTTTCTTTCTTTCCTCAATCCCTCACCCCTCCTTTTTTTTTTTTTTTTTTCCAAAGCAACAAACATTTTGTTGAATTGTTCTAAATAATGACAGCATTTGAAACCACTTCAGTCTGTTTAAGATCTCAAGGGGAAGATTTGGTGAATAAATGACTCAGGATAAATCAAATAATTTTGTTCTAATAACTGTGTCTCTCGCTCTTATCTCAACTGCTGTCCCTACTTCTATGTGCTCCCAACTCCTGGGCATCACCCTTTGCTCTGAAGTCTCCACTGCACTTGTCTCCAGCTCGGCAGTGGTCTTCATCCCACCTCCTCTCATCAAGCTCTTAAATTTCTCCTGTGTCATCTTCCATGGCAAATCTTTTCACCGTGCAGTTCCCAGCCTCCATCCACCAGCCCCACTCACCTGCCAGTGCCTCCTCTCTCTCCGTGCCCACCAAGCCCACTGCACAGCTCTTTGTTGTTGTCTGGCTGCTCTTCTCCCCTAAAATCAACTTTCACACAGGCACAACCCCACCTGGACCAGACTCTGGTCCCTCTCTACATCTCATTGCAAAACTAAGCTGACACCTTCTGCTGCTCCCCTCTGCCCTGCGCCGCCCTCCCCTCCCCATGCTGCTGTTCACCCTTTGAGGCAGTAGCTGCAAAGGCAGCACGTTCTTTTCCACATCCTTTGGGCAGGGATTTCACGGGGAGCTGCAGCTGACCCTGGGCCGCTGCCGGCCGTGCCCGGAGCGTGAGGCAGAGCCGCCACAGGCCGGGCCGCGGGCCTCACCTCCTAGGCCCATCTGCCTCCACCCAAGGGAAGACACACGCTCTAAACATGGATTATCTTTTCAGGACATTTGTTTCGGGAGCGAGTTGTGCTAAGCAAAGGTACGTCAATTGATAATAAACCTGCTCCACACTGTCATTTGTGGGTGATTTGAGGAAAACCAGACCACGTAATCAGGTCTAAGGGGTCCCTAATACCAGAGACGCTGGTGCTGTCAGCTATAGAAAATAATTAGAACGTTATCCCTGTGGCAAAGAGAATGTAAATACATCTAAAATACGACATAATGTCATTCTCCTCTGTAAGCCAGGGGATCTGCTTCAAATAAAAGGGCCATTAACACAACAATTAAAGCCGAGGGGGCCGGTGAAGTAGGGAGCTGGCCTGGTGCAGGGCGAGGCGAGGCGAGCGAGCGCCCGGCGTAAATCTTTCGCCATCCCAGCCAGGAATGTGACTATTAGCCCTGTCATGACCCGAGGGCTTCCCAATAATGCATCTGCTCTCTGTCAGGGCCAGCATTTCGTAACGTCCTCCAGTGCGAGCCCGGGGCTGACTCCACGGTGCGGCGCCAGAGCAGGAGGCGGCGGGAGCGGGCGGCTCCGCGCTGGACCTTGGCCCCCGTTCAGCAAAGCACTTAAACCCTGGCCCCTGGACACGGCTCCTCCCAGGGATGCTCGGGCACTCGGAGATGAGCCGTGGGTGGGTGGGTTTCACTCAGTCACTTTCCCGGAGCAGAGCTGGACCTCGAGCAGTCCTCTCCATCTCCTGCGGAGTGGGGAACGTCCTTGTGAAACTCCGGCTCGGGGAACCTGCAAGAACCAAGACACGGAGAGCGCCGTGGAAATTAAGGCATTTTTCAAAGGAAATAATGTCACTGCTTTCACCATGCAGACAGCAAACACTCTGAACAGGCTCTAGGCAACACAGAGATAATATTATCTATAAGCTGTAGCAAACTTTTGGAAATGATGGACAAGTGCCTGGAGAAGCCAGCAGTTCCCACCTTTCATCCAGTCTGAAATACGTGATGATAAAATTCCCAAACATATCAGGAACTTTGATTCCAAGACAAAATGCATCCAGCACATCCCTGCAGGTTGTTGGCAAAGGAAAAATATCACTGAACTGGCAAAATCAGCTTCCACAATAATATCAGGCTCAGGCATAAGTTCCCCTAAAGCAGACAAGTTAGGTCACAAATAAAAAAATTATTTGCTTCCTTGTAGAGATGAAAGTCTCATCAGATTCAGAAAACTTCTTCATATTTTTTTCTCTGTTTTTGATTTTTAGTTCTGTGACTTTTTGAGGTAAATGCAAAAATTTATATGTCCAGTGGAAATGCCAGAAAACAGGAAATGGTTGAGTCTTGCAGGAAGAGAACAGTGCCAAATCCAGCTTTTTGGGAAAAATCTGTCAAAAGTCAGTTTTATCGCACCAATCCTCTTTTTCAATTATAATAATGCTTCTATGAGCGTGACATAGCAGGGTCTTCAAAACAAAACAAAATCATCAGAATTGTACTTTTAAGCTTCGCTGTTTCAAAATCCAAAGGTAACATGCTACCCATCTCCTGTTTTGGGCATATGAACATTTCCACTTCCCACCCCAAATGAATAAATTTAAATAGTTGCCATACATACAGAAGCTTGTAAAGCTAGTTAAAAATGAATGCTAATTTTTAAAAAGAAGATCATTCATATCCTTTCAACCTTTATAAGTAAGGAAAATCTGAAAATAACAACTGCAGAAGTCACATTTCCCTTACAAAATCATACCAAACATCCAGAAGGCACACAGAGATAATTTCAGCCTACATTAATGACTTTCACAAAAGAAGCCCTTGTTTAATAATTGAGAAGAAGAATAAGTCAAGGTACACTAACTGAGAATCACAACTTGATATCCAGAATTATTTGCATCTCATGAAATGAGGCTGGGCTCCGGTTGCCAAGAAACTCAGAAATTCAGACCCAGTTCTGGGGCAAAGCAAAAATGTCTTATACATGGGGTGTGTGGGCACTCAGTCCATGCACCAGTGATGGATACAGACAGGATCAACACCCTGTAGGGATAGACACCTAAGCTAAGAGAGAATTATGTATGTCAAGGTAGAGCTCACAGCACAGTAGGATCTCAATATAGAAAAAATTACATAAGCAAAAAATTATCTGCATGTCCAATATAGAATAATCTTTGAAGATTCTCATTACAAGTAAACACAGGATAATGACTAATGGATAAGCTAATTAGTCATGCAAATCTGATGGATTTTCACTGCCTCCTTCCAGCCACTTACTTCTTTAGAAGGCATTTCATTTTCAGAGTAGTGCACAGTTTAACATCCAATTCATATTAGTTGGGCAAAAAGACAGTCCTTTAATCTTCTGACACTTGGGTCCTCAGTGTGAAACACAGGGAAACTGTCCAACAGAGAAGCAAAATGAATCATAATATAAATGAAAATATTAGCAAAAGCTCCCATGGAACAAAATGAGGTGGTGTTCTCTGGCAGATCTCATGCCTGAGCATTGTAGACAGCAGTAACTTATAACCTGCGACTGCAGAGACAGCGGCCGACACATGTGTCCCTTTCAATTATGTGAGCTGCCTTATATATAATAAAGCTGGTAAAAACCATCTGAAATAAACCACAGCCAGCCTTTATAGCTAAGGTCACACTGGCCAAAAGGGTTGTGAATGTTCCAGCAAGCTAGGAACAAGTTTCTAGACAGCTGGAGATATTTTGAGCAAACATGGGCCAAATTAAACCGACGTGGGAAGCCAAAGTGAAACCAGTAAAAGCTTGCCTACTCAGATGACTTTTGTTTGAGCTGGAAGCTAAATTCAAACAAAAATTCCTGGGATGATACTGCTTTGACTGTGACAGCAGACACCTGAGTCATGTGATAAGCACTTTGCTTTAAAAATTCCACCATGGCACTCCTGAGAACAGTAGCATATCAGATCCATGAGAAGCAAAAACAAAGGGGGAAAAAAAGAAAAATAAAAGCTTTTGTACAAACTCTGTGAACCAAGTCCCCCATGTCTCTTTCCTTCCAGACATTTGTGAAAAAACAGCTCACTGGAATCACAAAAAACAACAACTGAGCAGCATTCTAATATGGGACATCCTGCTGGACCAGCATGAGCCAAAGGAAAAAAGAAAGCCACAAATGTCAGAACTCAAATTGGACACTCAAACATAAAGCCTTACATTTTGGTGCACTTTTTTCCATTTAAACTAGTGCAATCAATTGGTCACCATAATAGAGGCTTCAAGAAGCTGGCTCAGTTAGGTCCATCTGTGACAAACTCTGGAACCAAAGCCATGTGTTCAAAAGTACACACACTTGGAAACACAAATAAATGATCAATTATTGTGTCTTAAAATATCTAAAGTTGACTGTGTGCATCACCACTAATAAGTATCATAGCGCACTGTGTAGTCCTAATGTTGTTTGTGGAGCTTTCAATCAGTTCCCTAGAAATGAAGTTTATACAGCATTAAGTCCTAGGGATGGATTTCCCCTCATATTCACTTAAAAATCATGAGTGAAGTTTTATCAAGCATCATTGCTTTGTGCTAATGACCCTATCCTGGGAAAGGCAGCAGTTCAGAGGGCATGAGAAATAGTATGAAGAGATTATCAAGAAAAGAAGGACTATAAAACAATATAGTAACTTGGGAAAAGTGGGTTCTCTTTTCTCCAGGAAGCAGTAAATAACTGGAAAGATGGAAGGTAAAAATCCTCCCTAATTAACTTAAAATAATTCTTTAAAAGCAGACCCTTAAAAGAAGGTTAGTAACAAAGCCCACAAGTAGATCTTATCCACCTCTGTCTATGAGGTGGTCTCTACTTTGCTTCCTTCCTGCCAGCTGGGCATCAAGACTTCATGGCTCCCCTGAGTAGAGCAGGGCACTGTCACATACCCCATGCTCTGGTCCCCCAGTGCCCATCAGCCTGGAGACAAAAGGCTGCGAGGATGAAGCAAAACTGAGCCCAGTCCCAGCATGGTGTCAGATCATGGCTGGACCACGACTCCCAGCCAGAGTCCAGCTTGGACCAAGGAGCTGGAAAATGCTCCTTTGGACCCTTTTCTACCTCTGGGATGTTTTTCAAAACTGAACCAGCTGCAGAGCCAAAGTCTGATAAAATGGAACCTGGAACTCGACCAGGTCTGTTTTTTGGATTTACAACCCCAAAATCCAACAGCCAAGACACCACAAAACCAATAGGATGCCTGACAAGTTGGGCTGCTGCAAGCCCCATGCTTTTAAGGTCCACATTTGGGTTTATTGTATGTTCCAGTATGGTGCAACTCTTCCTTTCATGGCCTTTTACCTCAAATAGGACCCACACATGCTCAGTTTTGCTGTTTCTACCTTCTTCACCTCTACTTTCTCTCAACTCTCCACTACTGCTGACTTTTTCCATGTTTAGCAGCCTCAAAGATAAACTCAGTAAGTAAATGGCCAAGGGATGTTGAGGCTGCTGCAAGAACAAAACCAACCACTGACTCTCTTTTTATCTATTAAAGCAACGGCTTAAATTCTCCTAAAAATAAACTGGGTTTTGTTGCAAAAGAAAGAAAAATTCCTAGCAACAACAAGAACAGAGATAAATGTCCTAAGAGAATATAATGGAACTGGAGTAAATTACTTTAAAATAAGAAATCCAGGGTGATGGGGAAACTCCCCAGAAGTGAACAAGTGCTTTTCACATCTTAAATAAGGAAAAGATTCCTTCCCACCCTCCCTTTTTTTTTTCTTCCTTTCTTTCCAGCAGCTAGAAGTCCCATCTGGTTCCTGTTTCTATTCGTCTGATCTCCCAGAAATTTCTAAAAGCCATAAGCATCAGCCAAAAATTCCCCAGGCATGGACTCCTTTCCAAAATAGCATTTTTTAGGTGGGTTGGTTTGGAAGGAGCAGAAAGGGGGAATGTTGATTTCTGTAACATTCCTAGGAATTTCTTGCCTCTATTCTCCCCTGTAGAATTTCTTCTCTGCTTGAATTCCCCTTCCACTTTCTGCTGTCATGCTGGTCAGCACTGGGACTGCCCAATCCCATGTGGCAGGATTCAGCTCTTCTTGTGGCAGCTCACAAGATGATGAGAGGCTTTTATCCCCAAGGAAGGCAAATGAAGTTGCAATTCCCTCACAGCTGAGATCTTCTCTGCTGGGCTGGTCTCTGTGCCATTTGGAGGCTGCATAATTGGATGTTTTCCCTTACTAAGGTGTTGTCAAGACGGGAATTTTGGAATTAGTAACTTGATGTCAATAAGCAAGATGGACAAGACAAAAAAGCTTGAATCAACCCTACATGCTCTACTCCATGGCCTTAGGGACAGGTGGAAGAGGTTTTTTTCTAGGGGATCCCTAGCTCCCATCTCACTTGGAAGCAGAAGCAGCATTGTGGCACCTTCAGCTCTCATGGCTGAAGAGAATGGTGGCTCTGAAAAGCAACTGGTGTGTCCAATTTCTGTACGCTTAGGATCTGATCCAAGCAAACTTTGTAAAAGTGATTAGCTCTCACTGACCTTGGCATGTGCTTAAGAGCTTCCCTGGACACTTTACATAACTAAGACCAAACAAAAGTAGCCCCATTTAATTCATTATGAGTACACCTCTTTATTGCACCCATGCTTCTTGTAAAGGTGCACAAACCTGTCATAGAGACTCCAAGATTCTTGGTCTCCTCTGCTTTTGAAGCCTCATGATCCTTCACTGAATCAAACAAACTTCTATGAACTTACAGACAGAGATTCAAAACAGGGCAGCTCCAGAGATGGGATATGGACTCTAAAGGTCTGTGCCCCACAAAAAACCAGCCCAGGTCACTGATGACTATAGGTTGCTACTTTTAGACATCTGAATTAAGGAAATTATCTTAACCTCACAAAAAATCCCAGTTGCCTCACTGGACCCATTCAGTATTTATAGAGTAACAGAATAATCTAAAAGGTCACAGCCTTATCTCTACACCCTGCACTTGCTTGTGCTTGCTTAAGAAAATAAGCTAGAGGCATAAGAGAAAGCAGGCAGGCTCTAAAGCTCTGTGGCACAGCTCCAGGACAAAATGCCACGCTGTGCAGAGTTTTGTACATTCTCTTGTGTTGTTAAAACACATCCACTCAACAAGTCTTGGGTCATCTTAGCATCTAGTCCTGTTAGAGAAGATATCACTGGAGTTCCCTGGCTCTCCTGGCACAATTATGACATGTCACCAAAGAGCCCATGGCATCCCTCTGGTCTTCCCGTTCACAAAATATTTAACTTAGCCTGTTTTTTTGTACCAAAGACTAACTGGCATTTCTAGCCCATGCACAGTCTGAGATGCCACTAAGAACATCTCTCAAACCCTCTGTACAATTAAATACTTCATCAATAAAAAGTAAACACACTTCATTTTCTATTATAAAAGAATCTCTCCCTCCCCCCCACCCATGTTTTATTTTAGCAAGTGCACTCAACCATGTTCTCAATCTGCACTTCATTTCCTCCTATTCAGTTTTCTGTGGTTCACAGACAAAAATACCTGGGGGAAAAAACAAAAAAAGCACAATACCAGATCCCAGGGGGCTCTGATTTACCACAGGAGAAAAATGTGTAGCACTGTACAACAGGAGCCTGCTGCCCAGGATGGGAGCTGGAGACACAATGGGTGAAACAGAGAGCATTAACCTCAGGGACAACAGTGCCAAGAGCTTCTCAAGTCCTCTTCCAGCCAAGGGTATCCTCAGGAGGGTATCCCTGTCTTCTTCATCTATCATTTATCACTGTAGAAGTAGTAAATAAAGAAATGGGGTCTTTCTGTGCAGGGCATTCCACCAGCCCAAGGAAAAGAGCAAATAAGAGCTTTAGTCCCTGTTCCTGCCAGACCGGGCCCTTTCATCACTATAGAGTAAATATAGAGAAATGCATCTCTGCAGCTACTCCCATCCATGAGGATCCTAGAGTGCTGGGTCTTCTGCAGCTGTGGTTGGCATGAGATATGAAAGCAGGCAGAACCTGACAGAAGATTGCCATGGAGTTTATAGAGCAAGATATACAGCAAGATGACATGGCCATTCTCTGCAATATGGACAGAAAGAGGTTTGGGAGAAGAGGTTTGGTGTTCTTGGCAATGAGGTTCTTCCCACCCACTGCAGCACAGACTTTCCTCACCAAACAGATGCTTCTGGTGCTACTACCTTTCAGAGAGAAAACAAGGGAAACAGGTGAATCAAGACCAAAGAATAATCCATCAAAAGAGAGCCAGCAGATCCACCTCCTCCACCGAAGCAAGTCAGGGCAGCCAAGGGATAGCAGGTAAGGCTGGAGATAGAATTGTGTCCATCCCAGCAGGCATGGTCCCACCCCACCCATCCCACTGATCATAGCAGTGATGGAAATCACAACAGGAAGTTCACTCACATGCTTTATCACATCACTTTACCCCAAGTAGTGTGCAACTAGGCACCAAGTAGGTGACACATCACCTACAAGCCTACACATCACATCAAGCCTTGTCTCTGCTCTCCAGCTTCCCCTGCTATCCCAAGTGGAGAATTGTAAATTACAGGGTTTGCTGGAGTTGATATAGCAAAGAGGAAGGAGAGGGACAGAGTAAGGCCAGAGAAGAAAAAGACAGAGAAAGGAAACACTGGAGGAAGGAGGGGACTTGGGTCTAAATACAAGTGTTGGGGAACAGAGAGTTTGTAAGCACAAGGATGGGGAGGCAGAGAGAAAGAGCCAAGGATAAATTGTTTTGATGAGTGCTTCAACGCTGAAATAAATATAACCACCCAAGGGGGCTGTGTGACTCAGTCTGACATTTTGGCTATTTTTTTTCATGCCACCAGATGTAATCAATTTAGCTGGGGGGGGGTGAGGGGGGAAGCACACACATATTTTTATTGCGTTCTAATATCCGCAAAAAAAAAAAAAAAAAAAAAAAAAAAAAAGTATGTGTTTTGTTTTGTTTGGGTTTTTTTCTAGTCATAGTATACGACACTTTGTGCAGAACCAAGCACAAGCAGAACTTTCACCTGCCCTTTGCCATCACAGAAACTGGAGTTTTGGAGACTGGGTACAGATCAACCCCCTCATTTCCAGTGCAGCAGGGAGAAAACCCCAAGCTGAAGGAGGATGTAAAGGGTAGCTGTGCAATTTTGTTCACATTCGCCTCAATACGCACAAGGGAACAAATATGGCCAATAACATCCTAAGATATTGTTGTGCTGAAATTCTTTGTTTACCAAGAAACGACATGTTGAAAGCCCTTGGCATTTATGAAGCAGATGATTTCTATTCATTCAATTGAAGCATTTTACAGTACTTACCCAGACACTTGGAGCGATTAACTTGCCAGATCTCTTGTGGAGGACTGGGGCAGATGGGTGAGCTCCAGAAAAATCTCTTAGTGTCCTAGAGGAAGTGGTGTGGTACTTGGATGGGTGGTGCTCACCCTTCTATCCGGGACCAAGGTTAAGGAGGGGGCCTGTACTGCTGGTTTCTTTCAGTTGTAGCTTCAATTGGGCATTCAGAAACCTTAGACTCCTGTCCAAAACTTTGGGGAAATGTTTCTGTGCACTGTTAAACAGCTCCTGCATTCCACCCAGGGGCTGATGCTGTTCTGTGGTAGGTGAATAATTCCCATATTTACTCTTTGCAAAATATTTTGGACTCCAGAGAGTTTTTGCTTAGGCAGACTCCCCCTGAATTAATAACAGCTTTGCCTGAGCAACAGCTAAGAAATGAGAAGACAGTGCTGCAGAAATTCATATTTTTTAATTCATCTTGGTCATTGGCTCTGCAGAGTCGCTGTTGGGAAATATATATTCCCATCTTTCTGTTATACAGCTATTCTCCTCTATCTCCTGCCCATGTATCTCTGAAGGAGCCATAGGAACTTAGGAACATAGGAACATAGGAACACAGGACCTAGGATGACACATCCAATAACCAAGTATAACTATTCACTGAACTGGTTGCCAAGCCTCCATCCAATGACCAACATAATGTCCATTATATTCAACATCTAACCCATAATCAGACCTGCATTTTATTTCAAAATCTGCAAAGATGCAGCAGTTCTCAAGACTTCCACCATGACTAAACTTTTGGGTGTCTTCTCCTTGGATGGCAATTGGCATGCAAAAAAAAGCCATAAACTTTCCCTTATATGGCCTCTGTTTTTCAGCTCTCATTAAATTAATCCCTCTCCCATTTCCTAGGAGCTCTGTGCTGAAGGCCATCAGACACAGGGGAGTTCGGTGAGGCTGCTTAGCTTTTAAAGATGATCTCTAGCATATCTTAATTTTCAACTCTGAGCACACATTTTTTTTTCTGTCTTTAACACATCCCCAGAATCTGAAACTCTATTTCAAAATCGAATCCACTGCATTTATTTAAAATGTCACAGTTGCTCTTATTGGTTGTGTTAATTAAAAAGACTTTTTTCACTTTAAGTGGGAGTCATTTGAAATGTATATAAATGATTCCATAACATGACTTCTTATCACCTATTCTAATGTTTCAAATCAAGTCATCCACTGTGATGCATCCTGGGTATTTTGCAAATTAGCAATTTTAAATGCATTTTGTGTGCAAGGAATTAGGTCTTGTGCTCTGTGCACAGTCTACACTGATTCTGTACATGTATGTACATGTCTAAAAATACCAAATTTATATCTACTTGTAGGAGAATCTCTGAACATTCAAGAAGTTGCCCCATCATAATAAGATAAAGAAAATTCTACAGCTGCACAATGTGCTTGTCTTAACTCTGTAATGTCATTAATCCTTGGACTGGAAATTACTAACTTTTGAATATTTAATTAGTTAAGCTTAGTATTTGATTATCCTAGCTTTCTAAGAAAAGGAAGATTGTCTAAGGAAAACAATCTTAAAGTTTGAAAATCTTAAGGAAAAACATGTATTAAAACCACAAGCCTCCTGTAGATGATAAATTCAACCCTGGAATCACTGTTTCAGAATCACCATGAATGCAGGTCTCCCAGTTCCCAGAGGTAATTTTTAGTCCTGCAGTCCTAAACAGAATTTTTTTTTTTTTTTAAAATTTCAGCTGTCCTTAAAAAACCAGAAAAAAACCCCAAACAAAAACCCCCACCACAACCCAAAAGCCTCCTACCAGAGATATCCTTAACTAAGTTAAGGCCAGGTTTTTAAGTCTGGCATCCTCAACCCAGATAGGAAGAAAGGCGAGCTGCAAATCCAATACTTGCACTAAGATACCCATTTAAAATTTCCACAACTTTATAACTGATAAAATGCTTTTCCTTAAGCTGAATAATTTTTCTGGCCTCCTCGCTAAGGAGATGGAATTGAAGTAATGATAAAAAAAAAAAAAAAAGATACATTAGACGTAGGATGTTTTTACCTTTATGTTTTTGAATCATCCTGAAAAAGCAGAGCAAATGAAAAACTAATGACTAAATTTTTATTTTTTTTTTAATAGAAAGTGTAGTTTTCACAAAATCTGAATGTTCCATGGAAAAACATTAATTTTGCCAGAGCTGCTTAGTTTTCCACTGGGGAAGATCTAAACAAGAGATTTCCTTTTAAGTTCTAGTTGACTGAAATGTAAGATCTTAAGTAACTTTCTCAAATAATAAACAAGCAAATAAAGTAGGATCCATCCTCTAAGGATTTTCTTCAGCCTGATGTCTCCTGAGACATGAAAGATGGACCTTTAGCACAAGGCAGAGATTAGCAAGGAGCTCTACAAAGAGGACTCCAACGAGCACAGTCCATACCTTCAGCAAAAATGTGTCACTGGGCTAAGACCAAGCATGGAAAATTTCAACACAAAAGGAGTGAGCCTGAGAAAGATATGAGCACAAGTGATGGAGGACAGGCAAGAATAGAAGTTTGAGCTCTACCTCTGTTCCAGCAGCTCTTGCCAGCCATTAATAAATAACAGTCCCCCTGCACAGACCTGGCGCAGCCAAGGCGCGATAGACACAGTCACTTGTGCTGTTTAGCAGCCTGCAGTCCATACCTGCTGTGGCTGCATGAGCAGAGATCCACACCATCATCCTTATCCCCAGGGACATCATCCCTTGGGATGTGGTATGTTAAGGGCAGTATCCTACTTTTCTGAGCTTCCATGCATGGATCCCTCTTGCTGATAGTGGTTTGGGAATCTTGCAAGCACCAGAGGTGTGGTTGGGTACCACCATCTCATGAACACCTCCAGCACAGATTCCGGTCCTTCTGTGTGTTTTCCTTGAGCACAGGGGCACTACACCATGGCCATGACTTCCAGGTGACCAGCAGGAAGGGAGCCTGTCCTCTTCCTCCTCTCTGCCTTCCAGGACTGGTTCTGGCCAACCAGGGCATCTGTTGCAGAAGGTGATGCTTCTGCAGGGAGGAAGAGTTTCATGGAGCCTTTCCACTGCACACCTGACCTCTCTTTGTCCTCCTTGAGAACCTGGCACTGCTGAGACCTGAGCACAATCAGAGGAAACTGCAACCTGAATCCTGTCCCAGCCTGAGACACCCATGCAGCTTCTCCCCACACATCTCTGCCGTCTCTCAGAGCACGGCAGCTGTCTCCAGAAGGCGGTTCTTGAGACAATTTTCAGACAATCCAATACAAATGGAATTTGAAAACCTATTTCTTCACAGTTTCTTCCTGCCCTGAAGCACCTTATATTTTTGTTCACACTGCTGGTGCTCAGCAAAATGAAGGATGGTTTTCTTTTCCTCTGGAAAACAGAAAGGAAAACAAAAATAATCAGTGTTGCCAACACTTGAAATTTTAGTCCCACGGTACTTGATGCTTTTCTTCACCTCCTCCTTGGCTTCTTGCTTCAATGTGTTATGCAAAAATCTCAGATTTCATTTTTAAAAGAGAAGAAAAAGGAACAAGCAGTTCATGGACTTCCAGGTTCTAGAAAAAAGCTGAGAAACATTAACTCAGAGCATCCCAAGGCACCTCCAAACCAAAAAAGAAAGCATGCAGAAAACTGTATTTATCACCTTTTTTTTTTTTTTTTAAAGAGGTGAGTAAAAAAAACCCCATTGACCTGAAGGACCCAACTGATTTTTGAGCCCTTGGGATGAAGAGTCCATTGCATACGAACCACCAGTGGCTTGCACTGGCCAGATTTCAGCTCCCTGTGCAATAACATGGAGATGAGGAGATGTCCCCCCTTTTAGGGGCAGGGCTAAATTTCCGTCCCACACCTTGGCCTTCTGGAAGAAAAATTAATAAATCATAGCTGGAAGGGAAGAAGATTGCACTTCAGTAGGATTTCAGAGTTGCTCTGTGAGATGGTTCTGTGGTGGTCTGTTGTTCCAGGAGAACAAGTGCCCATATAAGCCATGTTTTTCCCTGGGTAAATCACCAGCTCCAAGGAGATTAAAACCCTGCATACAGACATAGACAGTGCTGAGAGTTACAGGGTGCACACTGAGAGCTTGGTCTGCTTTCTCATGCAACCTATCATGTACTGGGGGACCAGTGAACCCCAGGAATGGTCCCTCCTGTACTTGCTGCGTCTTTGCGCTTTTAAGAGCGGTGCCAAGAGGGCACACTTAGTCCCTGTATCAAGAACCCATTTCAGAGGGAGGAGATGCACTCAAACTAACAGAACTGCTTGGAGACTTTGCTTTTCCTCTGTCTTGTTCTGGCATTTCTTTTTTTTTTTAAAATCTAAAACACAAGACATCAATTTTTGAATTTTGTGGCTGAAATTTTGTGGCTGCTGTTTATGTATGGAAAATATTTAACAGTTCAAGTCAGAAAGCCCAATATTCAGAACCTTCAGGGCAATCCAAAACTCCTAGGGTCTTCACAATCAGACTAAAAATACCATGAAAACAGGCTTCCTTGGACCAGATACTGATTTTCTGCAGCAGTGTGAAGGAATTAAAGCTGTCCTTAAGCACCAGCTGGGAACTGCCCTGGCATTTTCATGTCATCTGCTCCCTGGTCCTCTGGTGAAGGCCATGCAGTGATGGGCTGGAGGCTTTCATGGCCCTACTATAATCCAGCAAACCTTGGCTGGTAGAAGCAGCCCCAGAAGAGATTCCAGCTGGCTTAAGTTACAGCAGCCCTGTGGCTTCTCTAACTTAAACCACCTGCCAGTTCAGTCCTGGGCCAGCTGTAGGATCTGGGAGGTAGAAACGTGGACAAAAGCCAAATTTGCCTGCTGTCTTCCTCATCTGTCCCAATAGGAGGTTAGAGAGCCAAACCCCGTTTAGAGATGTCCCTGGTATAAGGCATCAAAGGGACACCTTTGAGCTCCTGATTGCATCTAAAATTGAAGAATGCCCACTATTCAGTCCCATCTTCCTTCCTTACCTTCTCTCATCACAGTGCTTGCATTCACAATATTGAAGCCTGAACGTGAGGAAATGTGCAAGGACAGGTTATTTCCTGGAACAGCTGATGCTTTCTGCTCTCTTTTGACTTCCCAGGCAGCCTCTCCCCTGCAGCTCTGGTGCCTCCACTCCTGTGGGGAGCCAATCGATAGAGACCAGACCAGATAGAGAGGGTATTTTGCTCCTTTAAAGAGTGGAAAATAAAAAAGTAAATTAAACAAACAAAACTTTCCCCAAATATTTCCAGAGCTGCTGATTCGGTTTGGGCTTTGGCAGTAAGATCACAATGGATTTAAACAGTCCCAATTCACCTTTTTACAGAGACACACATAATCATGTGCAATGGTAGGAATTACCCTGATAATACAGCCTGAATTGTCCTGCCCCTGCCCTTCCTCCTTGCCTTTCGCTGTGCAGCTACCAAAGATAATGAGTAACAGTGATATTAAAAAGGGATTTGGTGTTTTTTTACCTTTTTTTTTTTTTTCCAGAAAGTGGATAACATCCTACAGTAGATAGAAAAATCCATCCGACTTTATTTAACTGTAGCATTTATTAAGAGCAGTGAAAAGGTCAGCACGGAGCTACCAATGTATGGGCTAAACTCTTTCCCCCAGCCTTGAATTCGACAAGAAAGCAGATCCTTTAAGATGCAACTATCTTAAGCTCCCCTCCGATGGTTAAACTCTTAGTAATTCTAGGTTTTGGAGACAAACGTCAAAGCAGAGGGCTCTTCCCTTCATTATTCAAGAAAAGGCCCCATCAATATTATCTGTAATAAGAATCTGCTGTTGACATGGCTCACCCCGCAGTTCCTGTTCCAGGCAGTAGTCCCTGTCAATAGGATTAAAGTGGAGGAATGCCTTTGACAAGTCCACTGGCTGCTGATTCATTGCTGCCATCAGGCTGCCGGCCGGGAAAGGCAATGGGCACCATGCGCCAGTCCTGCCGGCCAGGCAGGGACGAGTGCCCCTGAAACTTTGATTTCTTGTGCCGGAGGGGCCTCCCTGGAGCTGCAGGGGGAAGCAGGGAGAGGGAAACCTGCGAGTGTTTGCACTGCTGGTGTCCTACCCCGTTGCTTTTGGCTGACCAATGTGCACATCAGCTGGGAAGTTTTGAGGTGGTTTGATGAGCACTGCTGAACCCATGAATGGCACACATGAATGTGAGTGCCATGCGAATGGCACAGGGAAACCATCCACCATGTAGAGGATGGGAAGGAGTGTTCCTGAGCCTCTGTCACCACCATCTCCTCCTCATCAACCTGGGAGATTGCACATTGAGATGAAAGAGGGACTCTGCTTTCACACTGGGGTGCTCTCAATGCCAAGCAGCCCACAGGAAGCCATGAGCAGTGACACCTGAGCAGTGCTGCCCAGATGCAGCAATGGCAGCTGACAGACACAATGGACCTGGGAACCCACAGCAAGAGGCACGAGCAACTTCCTTTGACTCATCTTTTTCCTGGAGCTTGGCCTATGCTTCACCAGTCATAAGGATGCAGGGATATGCTCAAGGGACCAGGAGTAGCAACATGGTAAAAATGAACCACTGTGGTTAAAGCCTTGGAAGGAAAGCTCTGGGCACCAAGGGGTGCAGATTTCTGGTGCATGGTTGGGCGCATCCACTCCTTGACAACACTTGTGTTTTCCTTCCTGTTTACCAATCCATAGGCTGTGTCATCACTCCCTGGCTTGCACAGCCCCAGGTTTGCAAAGGCCCTGGCTCACCCTCCCCTGCAGGCTGGTGCCCACAATGGAGGAGCCAGAGCAGAGCCATTCTGCAGCTCCTCTAGAGCCTGCAGGGTCTGACACTGGCTAAAAATCAGCACCCAACCACAAAAGTAAGGGGAAAAGTCAGCTGCAGGGAAAATCTGAGCCTCCTAACCTTCCACCTCTCAACTGTTTGAGCAGAACATGCAGGACACATGTGCACACACACATACACATTAACACCCTCATCTTTTCCAGTGACTAAGCTCCTGTCTAATTCGTTCTGTTCCTGTCCCCTCAGGTGCTGAGGCCAGGTCAGGAAGCAGGCAGCCTAGAGTAAATAGATCAGCTCTTTTTAAAATAAAACCTCTATTATTATCCTTAGGAAAAAAAATAACAACCCTCATTTTCAGGAATTGTTACATTTAATTAGGCTGCAGATTCCACTGGGCTCCACAAACGGAGCCAAGAAAGCATGAATGTCAAAATATTCTGCACACAAGATGAAAAACCCTGAGCCAGGCGATCCGGTGAAAGGGAACTCTGTCAGCTCGCCTGTCAACTGTGCTGCAGATTTTTCAAACCTAATTAAAATGATCTTTAATTTTTTTTTCTTTTGCTTTTAAAGAAATACTTTTTTTTTCTTTTATTTTTAATTTTTTTTTCTGCTTTAGTTTTTAATCAGTCTGATTTCCTGCATTGAGCTAGCCAGGAAGAAAGTGAAGGGGGACTCACACAGGCATCCAGGACTGGAAAACAGGAGGATGAGTGGCTGTTCAGGCAGCAAAGCCTCTGCTGCTCACCGTGTATCCACTGTTTACTCACATGTGAGATCAGCCCTAACAGGAAGAATAAGGTACCAAATTCTGTCCCTGCCTGTTTCCTGCCACCTTTGGGGGAATGGGACCTTTTGGGCTCTTTGTAAATAAACAGGAGCACATCAAAGGGACACCTGACCATGCACCCATTTTTGGAAAAACTAGAACAACTTACAGGCACTTGAATTTTTGGCTGACAGCTCATACCAAAAAGGCCTTTACTGCCCTGGGATTAGCAGCTCTGATGCTTTGGATCTGATAGAGGAAACCAGTTTGCAAATCCTGAAACAAGAGCCTTATAGGAGAGCTTGAGCCACCGATTAATTTTGCTCACATCTATGCCTTGCCCCTGCAGGGACCTGCCAACCCCCTCTCCCTGACTGGGTTCATTGTTTATATGTGTGAAGTTATTTGGATGGGCTGATCTCAGGAAAGTGGTCTGTAGAATTCTGCAGGAAAACAGGAGCTTGATGAGATGAAGGCAGCAGCACAGGGCACAGCAAGTCATTAGGACTAATAACCAGCATGATAAAAATAGGCATAAATAGGGATAAAGAGATTTAAACCAAGAAAATAATGCTTAAGGGGAGGTTGGTCAGCAGCTATAAAAACACACACTTCCCCTCCCACCTCCCCTGCTCTAGTGTCTTCAAGAAAAATATTTGCTTACTTAAACAACCACTTTTTTCAGCCTAGTTTCCTAGAGAAACAACTTGTTTGCGATCACGTTGTGGGTGTGTCTGTCTTTCTCCCTAATAAAACTTGTGAACTCCCTGGCCAATTTCAACCAACTTTACCAGAAGGGCAGAATCCTCAAAGATACCAACTGCTCTCAAGTCTTGCCAGAACTGGGTAGACAAGAGAACACTGAAACCATGGCAGGACAAAGGCTGCAGCCTGGGCACTCCTGATATTAAACACCAGAGCATCCAGCCTGGAGTTGCCTCATTTGTTTCTCTGCAGGAAGCCACAGTTCACTGAATCACACAAAGTGCACTGCTGAAATGGCATCATTTGGGCTGAGAATTTAGAATTGTGGTCTGTTTCTGAGAAATGCCACAAGAGTAGCATCAGCATGGGAAGGAGCCTCATCCAGGTAAAATGAGGTGCCTGCAGGCACAGGGTAGCACTAGCACTGCTCTCCAGCCACCTAAACTGGTCCTCAGCCCTTCCTGCACCAAAGCCACCTCTTGGGCATCAAGGCCAGGAGCATGAGTGGGGTCACCTTCTGCTCCATGCAACATCCCAGCTGCAGGGTCTTTCCTGCTGCTTGGGTGAGCAGAAGAAGAGGTAGGAGAAGTCTAGCTACTGTGGGAGTCAGTGACTCATAAACTGAGAGTGTTTGACCTGGGATCAGCCAGAGGGAAGGACATTCTAAGTCTTTCTCCTACAGTGTCAATTTTCAGGCTCAACTCACACTTTCAAAGCACATTGGGAAAGGCTCGCTGCAGATGTCTCTCTCAATACAAGGGCACAGGATGCTCTTGGTTGGGGTGGGAGCATGGAAGTGAGCTGGGACCTGCCATATTCCAACAGAGCTTGGGTGCTGATGGGGAGGAATGCTTGAAAAGGACAATGGAATAAATTGATAGTCCCAACCAGGGCTGCTCAAGAAAATGTCTCTTAGGTTGCAATGCAAGATATAACCAGGAATATGTATTCTATGACCATCTGTTAAAACCAGGTGGGGCAGTGTTCTTTATCTCTTCCATGACCCATCCTCCCTCCAGGGGGAGATCTTCTTTTAATGGGCTATTGAGTCCCACTGCAGGACTGATAAAATTACATCATCCCACTGTGAGATGCTCCACCCAGGGGGAGGAGCCAAGCATTCCTACAGGATATAATCTGAGACATGGAACACCAGTCAGCCTTTTCCCACTGGATTCCCAGAGGAACACCAGACCCATCTACTCCACCACTGGATCTTCAGAGGAAAACAACACCCTTCTACAGGATCACTGCTTCAACAGAACCACATCTGTCACTCCAGGAGGACTGCAGCCACCATTTAATGGGACTGCTATCAACACCCTGACCAACAGGGTGTCAGGTTGTATTCTGACTGACAGTGTTTTGTACTACTGTCAAATTAGGAAAATTTTAATTTTCCTAATAAAGAACTTTTATTCCTATTCCATTATCTTTACCTGAGAGCCCCTTAATTTCAAAATTATAATAATTTGGAGGAAGGAGGTTTACATTTTCCATTTCAAAGGAAGCTCCTGCCTTCCTTAGCATACACCTGTCTTTTCAAACCATGACAATGTCCTGATTAAGAAGGTCTCTTTTCCTCTAGGTTGGGTTTAGGATAGTTTAGTGCAGTCAGATTTAGGATGCACTAAATGAAGGAAAAGCCAAGGGGGTTACCAAGGGTAATGCAGTCATGAGCTCCTGTTCTTCAAGATGATGGAGACAACATAGGGAAATGCAAGAAGGACATTTTTAATGGGGAGGATCTTGATTTCAACAATCTTAGCCCTGCTCTCACATAATTTAAATTTGGAAATCTCCTCAGAATATCACAGCAATCCATTTTATTGTGAATGTCCTGGCACTTCTTCCCTCTCATCAGCTGCCTATTATCTCACTGGGAACACTCTCTCATCTGCTGAAAAAAATAAAGCATCTTCTGGAGTAAGAAAGCCTTTCAG